GCGCGCGCCGGGGTGCGGTCGAGCCCTGAGCGTCTACTCCGGCCATGAGGGGTGCGGGCGCCTGGGCCCCGCTCTGCTTGCTGCTGGCCGCCGCCTCCCAGCTCTCGCGGCCGCAGCCCCAGGAGAGGTAATGCGTCCTCCGCTCGGCTCCCTCCCTCCCTCTCTTTTTCTTCTGCATCCTAGCTCCCTAGCTCCCTAGGGCGCCGGGATGACCCAGCGCGGGGGGCTTCCAGGACCCTAGAATCGCAGGGCTACCCCGGTCCACCTCTCTCCCTCCTGCGCCTCCAGCTCCGTCGGCCGAATGGCAGCTGCTCCGGGCACCACGTGGCGGGGGCTCAAATTGAGCTCTGCCTCCTCTCCGCCTTCATTTATGGGGGCGAAGGGAAGCACTAGGGGTCAAATATGGGGATTTATTTTACTTCTGTTTTCTTCCCTCGGGAAGGCTTTGCCCGGGAACATAAGCCTAGGGAAAAACTCAAGGCACTGGGCGCCCAGGGAACGGCTCCCGGAAAGTTAACTCTTTGCCGAAAATTAACTCTTTGCCAACCTCCCAGCTACCCCAGGACTCAGTCTGGGGGAAACCCGCAGATTGGCAAGGTTGGCATCTCTTCTTCCCCCTCCAAATCCCATTTCAGAGGGAGGTTTTGGCAATGATTGATGATTTTCAGAAAGGGGGAGGAGAGTTAGGCTTTTCTCCTAGTGTAGGAAATTAAAAACTTTTTAACTATTAACAGGCTGTTAATCTTTAAAAACTGCCTGCATATAGTCTAGCTCTCAGCTTCTTCATCACTCCCACTATTAAAAATTTTTATTTTCCATTTTCTTATAACATCTTGCTACTGCATGGAGGACTCACTGACGGATGGATGGATGGATGGATGGATGGATGGATGGATGGATGGATGGATGGATGGATGGATGGATGGATGGATGGATGGATGGATGGATGGATAAATTCTTCTTGTATTATTGTAATGAAGACATGCTAACTGGACTGAATGTTTTCTTCTGCTGTAGCTTAAATATTCTAAGAACTAGCAAGCTTTCAAGTATCTTACTGGTGCAGGCATTTATTACTCAATATTAACTATCCATATTTGTAGATTAAACCTTTCAGAAATTGATGTTAGATTGTTTCAGGTTGTTTCCTTTTCTCTTCTTTTCACAGGCCTGTTTTCACATGTGGCGGCATTCTTACTGGAGAGTCTGGATTTATTGGCAGTGAAGGGTTTCCTGGAGTGTACCCTCCAAATAGTAAATGTACTTGGAAAATCACAGTAAGCATTATTTTTTTAAGGGTATTCTCCTGGAAATAGGTATTGGAAATAGTGGAAAGCTGTTACTTTTTTCCTCTGATGGCAGAATTTAGGTTTGGGGTAAATAGTGAGATGTTGGATTTACTTCAACTATTCGGGAAATTTTTATTAATCTAACCAGGGGTGTTCTGCATTAACAATTAGAAAGGACACAGATAATACTTGTAGGAATAAATTCTTACAGCAGATGTGTTTCAGAAAATTCATTCCAACTCAGTTGAGTTCCACAGATTCAAAATTAAGGTTATTTTCAGTCTAAGATGCGTGGTAATGACATTTCAAAGCTATTTGTTGCATGCGCCTTGCATAAAGTCTCCCAATGGGGATTAAAAGATCAAAGGTAGTGCTCACCCCTGATAACTTTATACCCATTAGGATAAAAAAAGGAAAAAGAAAAGATTAGAAAAATCCCTTTGAATAATGTCCTTGACTTGAAACCACCACTAAAGGCAATCTAAGAATAGAGAGTAATAATAACTCAGGGTTAGGGGTGGGGCAAAGAGAGAGGCTAAATATCAAACAAGGCCTAGTAAAATGCCCATGCTGGTTAATAATGGCCTAAATTGTGCTGAGTCAAGAGAAGCTAAATTTAGAGACAGCCATTTAAAAAAAATGTCTGGATTTAAAATCAGCAAGGTTGAATTATCTTTCCAGTCAACCTAGAAGTAACTGTACCTTCTTCATTTTTTTCATTGTAGGAAAATTGTTTGATAATTGAACACTTCGGTTCACGGACAATTTCATTCAGTCAGATTGTGCCACCCATGAACTATGATTTTTTAAAGTAGCTATCTCTCATTGAATTCTTAATGCACGTCACAAACTATGCCAAACAATTAGCAAGTATAATCTTACTGAATCTTCGAATTCACTCTGAGAAAGAAAGTCACTGTTATTATTCCCATTGTATAGTTAGGGAAGATGAGGCCTAGGATTATTATCTTAAATGACTTGATCAAAAGTTTGGTAAGTTCAGCTTCATACAAAGTGAAACTGATTTGTGATGAGGTTTTGCCACCAAGGTCATTTGACAAACACAAAGATGGGATAGTCCCCTCCCCCACTTTAGTGTAAGACTTGGCTCCCACATGCACTGATGCTCTCCTGTCTACAAACTGTCTGATGAATTGGTGTGTGTTTCATTATGTTATTGCCCCGCATGGAACTAGGAGCAAATGAATCATATCAAATAGCTTTGAAATGTTGATATCGGCATAAATGTCAAATAACACAGTTAACCTGGCTTCAGGTTCTACTTGTGTCTCAATTGTAATTATAATAAATGATCCCAGGAAATTATTGACTGACAGGTATTTTGTGCTTAAGAAATAGAAAGAAATCAGAAATTCCTGATTTGCCATGTATTGGGGGTTTTCTGGGCATTGTTATGACATCAAACTTTGATGGGGTGGGAGTGGGGATGCAGTGACAGTTTTCCTTGGTAAAAGAGTGTGTGGTGCAGGAGAGGCCTGCTACTGATTATTTATTCTGTGTGGGAACAGGGGGAGCATAATAGGTGCTCCACCAGGATGCAATGAAAGATAAAGCATGAATGCTCAACAGTCCGCCGTCCTTGGATTCTGATTATCACGCCATCATTCATAAATTGTGTGACCAAGACATATCTTCTTTAAATTTCAGGGTTGCTGTAAAGATTAAATTACGTTTTAAAATAACACCTAAAGCCCTTCAGCTCAGTGCCTGAGATTTAAGTGCTCGAAAAATACAAGCCATCAGTGGTATAATTTTCGTTATTCTCATTATTGCTAGTATTGATTTGATTACTTCCTCCTCCTTGACCACATTGGTCAAGCCAGGGTTGGCAACTAGTCAGACTACTTTTATGGAACAATCTACCTTATCATCTATACCTATGAAGACCTTATCCCTGGACTTGGGTTTTCCTTATGATCTTACTGAAAAGATCTTCTGAGTTTTTTAGCTCAGCTTCCAGTAAGGGAGGCCCAAAAGAGCTATTGCTCTACAGAGGTTTGTTTCTCTCTGACATGAGAGAATCTGGAGGTGTCCAATCCAGGAGGGTGTGACAGCTTCACAATTATTAGGTACCCATTATCTTTCTCTCTCCTCGCTCTCCCCTCCTTAACATGCTACCTCATCATTCAAGAAAACTGCTCAGGGTCCAGCTATCATGTTCATGTACCAGTCAAGAAAAGGAAATAGAAGGATGTATGTCCTTCCTTTAAGGAATTGGTACCAAATCACATGTGACTCATTGCTTGCTTTTCACTGGCTAATTCTAGTGACATGGCCATGCCTAGCCGGCAAGGAAGCTGAGAAATGAAGGCTTCATTTCAGGCCACATTCTTAGGCTCCACTAAATTTCAGGTCTTTTATCACTGTGAAAAGAAAGGAAAACAAGCAGACGACAAGCAGTCTCTGTGACATATTTATTTGTGGTTTGCTCAGGCTTCCTGAACTAATGTTCATGAAGTTGAGTAACAAATGCCAGCCTTTTTTGAAAAATACTTATTTTTAGAAAGCATGAGTAATTAGGTAATAGCAAAAAAGGCTTGTACAATTTGTTTTTCAAGTTAAAGCTTTTTAGTTTTCACTCTTAGCCTGTTGAATTTATTCTTTTTCATTTATTTATGTGTACAAGAACTGGGGTACAAGCCAGAGGTGTGGAGCATGAGAGGATTCACCAGAGACAGAATGGGGAGCAGAACAGGCAGATCCACTGAGATACAGTGCTGAATGGCGCAATGGCGCAATGGGCTGGTCAGGAGAGGTGCTGAGCCATGTGGGTCACCTCCCTGTCCTGGAATCAAACTCGTGCTGCAGTAGCTGCGGACAGCTTCATGGTGCTGTGCTTTAACTTTAAACATTGCGCCACCTGGGAGGGCCTTGAGTTTATTCCTTTGCCTTTTTTATGTCTGTATGTGAGTAGCAAACTCACTAACTTCCAAAAGAGTCTAACATAGTCGCAGTTATAATTACAGCTTCAGTAGAATAGTCATGAAGGCTCCTGAGGCTCTTAATGGTCTCAGTTTGACAACATCTTTATTTTTCTGTAGTTCAGAGGAATGTTCTTGTTCATTTGTAAACATCTTCCCAGTTCTTCATAGTCCTTTGGTTTGTCAGAGCAGAAAGTCTCCCTGTTTCTGTAGATCCTAGAGAAGAGAAAAGGAAGGCAGTTGTGGGATAGCAAAACTGGTAGCCTGAGGTCTCCAGTCATTCAGCTAATGTGTGTGGAACATAGAGTCTTGTGGAGCTCACAGCAGTGAACAAGGTAACATAGCTCCTTGCCCTCAGGCAACCACGACTCTAGTTTGGGGAAGCAGGCATCTAATATTTAAACAAATGAGTAAATAAAACAGCAAGTTGATAAATGCATTATAAAAATAAAAGATACTGGACCCTCCCTGGTGGCACAACAGGTTGAAGCGCAGCACTAGGAAACTAGCTAGCTACAGCTGCTTGCACAGGAGTTTTATCCCCAGTTCTGGGGTCGGGGGGTCAGGGTGGGCTGTGGGGGGGGGTGTGACCCATATGGCTAGGCCACCTCTCTTGCCACCCACACCTCCCCTCAGTAGTGTACTTCATTGATCTGCCTATTATGCTCCCCATTCTGTCTCTGGTGAAGCCTTTCACTGCCCCGGCACCTCTGGCCTCTACCCAGTTCTGTGTGCATAAATAAATAAATCTTGAAAAAATAAATAAAAGATTTACTACTTCATACCCATTGGGATAGCTATTATTAAATAAGAAAATAACAAGTGTTGGCAAAGTTGTGGAGAAAATGAAACCCTTGACATTGCTTGTGGGAATGTGAAGTCATCCAGCTTTTGTGGAAAAGGTGTGGCAAGTCCTCAAAAAATTAAACAGAATTGCCATGTTATCCAGCAAAACCAGGTCTAGGTACATACGTAAAAGAAGTGAAAGCAGGGACTTAAATAGGTGTTTATATACCCATATTTTCATAGCAGCATTATTTACAATAGCAAAAAAGGTGGAAGCAACCCACTTACCCACCCACAGGTGAATGGATAAACAAAATGTGGCATAGATATACAGAGGAATATTATTCAGCCTTAAAAAGTAAAGAAATTATGCCTCATACTACGTTAATGAATCTTGAACACCTCATACTAAGTCAAATCAACTGGTCACAGAAGAAACAAACACTACATGACCCCGCTTGTGTGAGTTACTTAGACAATAAGAAGGTTCTGGACAGGGACAGTGGTAGTGGTTGTACAATGTCGTAAATATACTAAGGCCACTAAACTCTCTAAATAAAATTTCATGTAATACATATTTGACCACTATAAAATTATTCCTAACATTAAAAAAAACCAACAATCTTGTATAATTTTTGCAGAAAGTAAGTCTATGGAGTTGGAAAATGATTAATGGTTGCATGGGGCAGGGGATAGGTGAGGTGTTCACGGGAAATGATCATAAGGGAGTTGACTGAGAACTTGGAAATGTTTGTTTTCTTATCTCATTATTCTTTACTGTATAAATTTAATTTCTTCTCCCAGGTGTAGTCCCCATAACTCCTACCACCACAGCACCCTCACCATCACCATGGTCCCTGTGTTCTTGCCCTTTCCTTCCCCTCCCCCCCCCTCAAATCCATAGTTTGCCTGCACGTTTTGGTTTTTTCCTGGCCCTTTATTCAGTTTCCCTATATGTCTTCTATAAGTGAGACCATCAGATACTCTTTTTTCTTCTGACTTATGTCACTTGGTATATCCCTTCCTGTTCTACCTGTATGCTGCAAATTGCATGAGTTTAGAGGATGGAAATGTTTTAAAACTAACTTACAGTAATAAGTTATTTCTGTATTTACTAAAAATCATTCAGTTACGCACTTGAAATGAGTGAATTTTAGTATAATGCAAGTTGTAAAACAGTCACAATCCCCCCGTGTGATGAGGTAGAATGGCTCTGAAGTTGAGGTGGGCGGTGAGGGAAGGCAAGTTAGGGGACATTAA